CCCCCCCCCCCCGGCCATGGCGCCACTGATACTGACATGAAGTAACGTAAACTTCAAAGGTTTTCCAGAGGAACGTTTTCTCAAACACCTCCCCCTTTACTGTAGATGTATCGTTGTACCAAAATTGGACGCCCTCTTTTAGGACCCTGGCTAAAAGCCTGCTGCAGGTGCCATCGCCTCTTGTTTAGTACAGTAGGTGCACAGAAAAGGGCACAATGAATGCACACAGGGTGCTATTTATCAAGCACCTTGGTTTGGACAAGGCCTAAAGGAGACATTCATCAGTCTAAATGTAAACATCAAGGAATCACTCGGAAAGTATTGCCAATCACTTCCTCATATATGTTAAAAGATTTTAACATAACAGACACTGACAGTGAAAGAGATCTCGGCGTGTGTGTGTCATCGAATCTAACATAGAAAAAAAACAGTGTTCAATCAAGCGTCGTGGATACATTAGGAGAAACACACAATTTATATGAAATACTGCAGCAAGACGATCATTATAACTTGCTTTGGTTGGATCTCATTTTGGCTACGCAACACAGGTTTCGGCACCCCAATCAAAAAAGGTTATATATAAGCTGGAAAGAACACAAAGGCGTGCTACCAAATACCTTCATGTGTATAGTTCTGTCCACCACGATTAGCTTTCGCTATTTGTGGACAGCAAGATTTTCATTGAATTTGTAAACTAGTTTGACATAGTAAATATAAATTAATAAATTTGACATAATAATAAATTAATTAATTGGCTATCCGCTGTTGTGGACACCCTGCTAGATAAATTAATTTTATGTTCTGATGTAAGTATTGGCGGAGCCAATGAATGAATTAAAAAAAAATTGTAATTGTGTGTTAGGTTCAAGTGAAAAGAGGAAAAGAAAGCGAAGCAGATGGCAGAGTGAAGAGAAGAAAATGATCATTCCAGGAATGCCAATGTGTTTACCAACTGGAATGAGTGAAGAACAGAGAACTACATATATCAGTAAGCTTTTTAGTTAATTAAGGTTTTGTTTTTGCTAAAATTAAAAATTTTCAGCACTATCCAATGAGATACTAGTAATGCAACTGCACAGAAATTCTCCCACTCAAAAAGGTGGTCTCAAAAAGGTGGTCTCAAAAATAAGGTCTTCACAATGATGTAAAATATTTGCTATTTATGTGAAATGGGGATTTTTTCGGAAATAGAAACGCCTGCATAATCTTTATACTTATACTTCGAAAGAAGCAAATTGCGTGTTGCTATGGTAACAATGTGGCCTAAGTGACAGCAGACAAAGATCAAATTTTGGACTAAACATTTTTAATTTATTAACATTTCCTTCACAGGTGTAAAGAGAACATCTAGTGGAAGATTATATCAAAAAATTAGTGGGGGGTTATAAATTCAGTTTTTGAGATGTTACGCAAAATTTGTTCCACAAAAACTGTTTTATCAAATTTTTTAAAAATTGAGTATACTGCAATAAATGATTAGCACTTTTAAAATGCAAAATTTCAGAAAAATGGATCAAATGAAAAAAGTTATTGCATTACAAACCTTGCACGGTCAAATGAAATTTTTGCTGACGTGATAAAATTTCAGCTCGACAAGTGATTGTCATTTCGTTACCAGTCCCATGCTTAATTAAACAACTGTAGGGAGCCACCTTAAGTAACAAATTCAACACAGTTGAAATACTGTATACGACAACACTGTTTACTAGTCATATTAACTGCTGCTTCTCTTGCTTTCTAGCACATTTAAGAATAGAAGAAATTAGTAGAAGATTAAGAACAGGAGATTTAGGAATCCCTGAGAATCCTGAAGATAGGTATGTCATATACTGAAGGGATCCAAGTGGGTCATTCCAGAAAGGATGTACAGTACACTCTCCCTAGGGACAAGAGTGCACTTCTGATTGTAGTAAAAAATACTAGGACATCCGCAGGCGGACATGGATGTGTGAACTAGAGGTGTGCGTCAGATCGGATTGGAGGTTTACAACCCGACAACTGGTAATTTTTTGAAATCCAATCCGAAATTGTCTGATTCGAATCTAATCCGATCCGAGTTTGTTGAAGCGTTCCGATCTGAACTTAATCTGAAAAACCCTTCAATAAATTAAACTTTCCGAGTAAACTTTGCAGGAGCCAATTCGCAAACTCTCATTAATTAAAAGAACTCAGATCTTTTGTTCTTTACAAATAGGGTTATACATAGACAATTAGAAATAAACAAAATGGAAAAATTAGTTATTAAACGGAAGCACTGTAAGCCTTTAGTTTTCACAGCGGCCATGATAATCGAAGTCCAATCCGACTACGAAAATACTTTCCGATCTAAAGTGAATATTATGGTGCCGAAATCTGAACGAATTGGATTTGTTTTGGATTGGATTTGCACATCTCTAGTGTGGATGTTTTTGTTGGAATGACCCAGTGCAAAGTTCGCTGGCCATATGATAAGGCAAAAGTGGGCCTGATACCGATTATTGGTCAATCCGCTAAATACTGGTACCACTGGTAATTATCGCAGCCTGAAATAATGATCTGACCTGTTTGTTCTTGTCAATATTTCTAGATCCCCATCACCTGAGCCTATTTATAATTCTGACGGAAAACGTCTCAACACTCGAGACTTCAGAGTCCGAAAGAAACTAGAAGAAGAAAGACACACATTGGTTCAAGATGCAATGAAAGCAAACACAGACTATAAACCACCTGCTGATTATAAGTTAGTATTCTTGATGCTTGTGCCAGGGTTTGTACAAAACTTGAAAGTCCTTGAATGTCCTTGAATTTATAAAGAAGTACTTGAATGTCCTTGAATTCTTCTTGCTTTAGTTTTTGGATATTTTCTGAAATTGTTTGACATTCAAGACGGACATTCAGGCCTCGATAAAGTGCGCGAGCGCCACTCGCAGGCACCTTTTACATTTTTGCAGGCACATTTTAAAATACTGACATTTTAACAATATTTAGGTGACAAAATCTGAGTAAGATGTGTTTTTGCAGGCACATTTTGAATTTCGCTCGCAGGCACGAAAAAATGTTATCGAGGTCTGCGGACATTTGTTGAACTGATTTTGCATGTTCATATCTGACCTCATTATAAAGTTACGTTTTGAACAATTCAACGTCAGATTTTGCTGATTTCTAACACCTTCAGTATTTAGTCCTTGAATTTGCTGATACACGGCCTTGAATGTCCTTGAAAAGTCCTTGAATTTAACTCTTCCTGACCTGTACGAACCCTGTTGTGCCTCACAGCCCTTGAAAATTAGTGCCTCACAGCCCTTGAAAATTAGTGCCTCACAGCCCTTGAAAATTAGTGCCTCACAGCCCTTGAAAATTAGTGCCTTACAGCCCTTGAAAATTAGTGCCTCACAGCCCTTGAAAATTAGTGCCTCACAGCCCTTGAAAATTAGTGCCTCACTGCCCTTGAAAATTAGTGCCTCA